CGAGCGTCAAATACACTGGCTTCTCGCCTACGAAGCTGGGGTTGTTTCTTGTTTCTCAAAGGGTTTGGTTGCAGGAACATCTGCGGAAAATGGCCTCAAAACATCCGAACTCAGCTGTTTTCATGTAGAATTTGCTGTAGCCCAGCCACTGGGGTTGTTTTCTGCATCTTTGTGAGCTGGGGCACATGTGTCCGGCTCACCTGGCAAGGCTGTGGTGCAGACGCTTCAGCTGTTGATCCGCTTTGGCTTCCTCCGATCATTCGAGCGGGGAGCCTCAAACGGACCTGTGGTACCGATTTGCTTCTGCTGGATGTCCGGGCTGTTTCCCTTGAAGCCCCCAACAGCGGCAATTTTTCCTGCCACTTAACCCTAGCCCCTTGGACTCTAAATATGAGGGCCTTTGACCCGCTTTGGGGCCTCAAATGAGGTCTTGGGCTCCTAGGGTAAGAGGAAATCCAGTGACTTTGGTTTTGGGGCTGGGATGGGGTTTCGCTTGAAGGCCAACTCGCTTTCCTTGCCACTGATAGGGTTTTGGTTGGTCCCCCAGGTTACCCACTACCAAACATGAACGTGCAGTCAAAAGGCGCCTTTGGACTGCATTCCTCTCAAGTCGTCCGGTGCGTTTCCATTGATGGGAGGGTCACTGTTTTGCTTGTGCCGTGTTGTTCCCTCAGACGTCAAGGAAAGCAGGGAGGGTAATATTCAACCCATGATTTTGCAACCACCTTTGTTCCCCTTCCAGAGTAGGTGATTGCCGTTTGGGGGACAGCAAAATCAATCTTGATTGCAGGTAAATCCACCAATTGACATGCTCTTCAAAAGGAAAATGGTCTTCCAGGACCGCCCAAACGTCAGGCTCCATGTTAATTGGTTCTGGTGGGAGAGTTTTTACTGCCAGCTTTAGCAAGGCCCAGGCACCGCCGTTTCTTTTTGTCCTTTTAGCTTCACGATGTTCGCGAGAATGCCAGGCAGTGGCCTTTGCTCCACGTTTTGTGTGTGTGGCTTATTTCCGACTCCAAGCATATTTAAGTTGTACTGTGGATAGACGAAATCCGTTCGCACCACTTTGAAACTTGTCGGTATTTACAGGGGAATCATCATCCCATGCTTTGTTGGGTGGTGCAGGATTTTGTCCTTCCACAGTATTACGCCTTTACCAACAGTTGAGCCCAGTTTAAGGCAGCTCAAATGATTGCAAACATACGGGCTTAGCACAGCAATTTGCACAGGTTTCAGAACTGGGGTCCCCCACTCTCAGTGCCTACCCCGGTTTTGTGGAAGCGGGCCACTTTCCATGACACCCTGGGGAATATATCGATGTGGGCTAACCGCTTTGATACCAGGGAAAAGGTCAGAAAATTTTCACAAGTGCTGTTATGCCTCAGTTGTGGAAAAGCGAGACGCGAATCTATGGAATTTAGTTTGTGGCTGTTGGCTTGCAACCTAATCAACAGTGCCACATTTCGCAAGCCCTGTGATGTCCCATGTGTGGCTTACTGCATGGGATTATGCCTGGCCGTTTCCCAGAAAACAGCCACCTCTGTCAACGTTTGGTGACATTTTTGTGCTCGCCCTGTTTCTATACAGATGGTAGAAACAGGTAGGGCCCAATATGGCCTGGTCGGACATAGACTTCCTGTTGGCTTCCCTTCAATCATCCAAACTGGGCAAACATCCAAAAGGGGGCCCTGCTGTTCGACGCACCCGCATTTACATGCGATGGTACATGACGTTGGCACGGTATAAAACATGTAACGTGCTAGATTAGATAAACACGAGAACCAATGGTTTCTGTCATTGGGTATTGAACTCCGAGGTCCAGTTCCCTTGTTTCCTTGTGTCCTTATATTCAGGAGGGGGTTCCATTTAACATGAACCACCTCAAGATCCAGAGGTCCCTTGTTTCCTTTTAACACGGCATAGAAATGAAGCACCAATTTTAGCTGTTGTGCCCAACTCACAGTGTTGAGCCTTGATCCTGCGCGCGTGCCAGCTGGCGCCAATAGCAGGACCTGTGCCCAGCTTCACTCAGCCCTGCTTCGCATCCTGGATGGGCGCTGGAGGGCCTGGTGGGCCATGTGCCGTGTATACGACTCTTACCTTCCATTTGCTTAAAAATATGTCAATTCACTTAGTGAAATTATTTGTTGGTTTCCCCTGTTGGTTCTAAAGAAAATCTATCACTACTGGAAACATTTGGTTGTCTTTCTTTTTTTCTAGGGGTCTTAACCACATGGAAGTTACCCTTTCGGGCATGCCCATGGAGCAGGTACGAGGGCACATCCCCAACAGCAACTTGCGGAGCCCTTCCGAAACCCTAACCCAAAGCTGCTCTGAACCATCCCAACGCGAATCATTTGTGGAGGATATCGTCAGGATTCAGTTGGTCCACCTGCCCACTTGACATGCCCATGGGTATACATTCTACCCTTTGGTCCCCAGCCAGGGGCTCACGTGCGCGCCTTCAGCACAAGCTAAAGAGTACGTCTGCCCGGGTAGCCCCATGGCCAGGCGCTTCGGCTCGAAGTTCTTTGGGCTTTTACCAGGCCCCAAAGCCATCCCCCGGGAGGATTTTCACACCTAGGTCCCCCAGCAATTGGTGCCCTTCTAAACCCCTTTTTTGGTTGGGAGGGTTCCCCGTGGCTAAAATTGACTACAGAAAAAAGACACGGTACCCTTATTCTATCCTCTCTACTGCAGGACCTAGACACATTTTCCGGAGACGGGGGCAAATCAAGAAACGAGTGGCCAGAAAGTCCCTCAAAAACACTGAAGTGCCTGTTTTTTTTGGCTGGTCTTGACTTACACATACGACGAACCCGGAAACGGCGCATGAACCAAAAGGGCTGTGAAACTCGCATAGGAAGCACTTACATCACCTTACATCGGAAATCCGCCTAGAAACTATGTTTTGACAGCAACTTTCAATTTTTCATCCAAGATACCTTTCCTGGGATCGGGGGTCTGCTGAGGCACGGACTGGCTGGACCCGCCCCAGGCTCGCATCACGGTTGCCGGGTTTCAGATCGCCGGGGTTGATGTGAGAAAGAGGAAGCCACCAGGTAAGTGAAATCTGACGTTCCAGGGACCTCCAAACTGCCAATCCCAACCTCCAACTACCTAGAGTCTCCATGGCCCTTAAAAATGGGGTCATGACCCCTTTCTTTTGGGCAATGACCCCATGTTTAAAGGGTCATGGAGACACTGGCATGGCTTTTTGGGAATCGCCGCTTTGGTCTTTCGGAAGCACCTTGGTCTTGCAACTGCCAATTTTGCCTTGCCAACAACAGGTTATGCACCTGAAGGCATACTTCAAAGTCTTCAAATCAGGTTCCACTCTAGAAAGGGACGATAGCACTCGCAAAGCTCAAAGCTCTCTTGCAGATATTGCCGATGGCTAAACATCATCGCTTTTAGAGGAACCTCTCCTCGTCCTTCGGGGTCCATGTTGATTTGGGGGGTACCTCCCAAAAGGTCAACCGGAGGCCTGCCGGGTTCAAGGGCGAATGCCATGCAACCCTGAAGATATACCAGGGGTGCGCACCGGGGAAACCTATCTGGCTATGCAAAAATGCATATGGCTGTGGCTCAAAAAACCGTCCCAAATTGGAACCCTGGTAAGTGAAAGCATGGACCAAAACCTGCGTAACCCCCCGTGTTTAATTTTGAGCCACACTCATATGTATATTTGTATATATGTATATAACTATCAATCATATCAGTCTCAGTCCCTGTGGTGGACTTTCGACCTGGAAACCCGTCGGACAGGCGGAGAACATTAGCGGTTAAGGACTCAGGATGTGAGCAGTTCTCGGAGACACAGGTTGGCGCAAGTACACCTTTGGCAGAATCAACCACAATATCCCTAAAGCCGACCCCTCCAATGCACCCACACGGCCCAGGGGCCCACACGCTCCAATGGAGAACCCTGCCCTCCAGTTGTACCCCTACTAGTCCCAGAAAGCATAGTTTGCTGCCGTCAACCAACCCTGAAGATAATAAGCTATCTATTACATACAACAAATACGCAAGAAACACAAAAGAACCAACCAACAAAGCTACTCATTTAATGACCGCCATCAAAATATCTATCTAACATGTCTATCTATCAATGCCATGCGTATTTATACATGCGGCTTCTGCTGAACATTCCTATAAGACAGGGTATAGTATGGGCGCATGGCCAGGGGCTCAAATGTAAGAGCGGCAGTACATACTCCCTTGTCATACTTGGCTTCCCTGGTTGCCACCCTGAGGGCAGTTTCCTCTTCGGGGAGAGGGGTATGAACATCAGCACGCGATAAGTCAATTTGGTACATACACCTCTAGGTTAAAAAAACGGGGCTCTGCACCGATTGAACGTGTTGTCGCGATATTCAAGCCACAGACGGGTCAAAAGGTGAGACCAGTTGTGGGTGCCGGCTGAAATCTGCCGGACGAGTGCATGAACGCGCCCCATCCGCGACACGGCTCGGCAGGAAGGTCGTCTTCAAGTGAAACGCATGAGGAGAGTTTGACTCAGAGTCAAAACTGTAACCGAATGCTCTTTTTTTCACCACTTGCTTTTACCCGGACGTTTTCATGACTGGTAGTTCTTTACTGTAGGTGCTTAGCGCCACCTTCAGCAGACAGAGTTGCATAGCCATTGCTAGACGGCATTGGACCTCCAGCATCGCTGAAGGGGATGCTTCAACTGGAGACCCCTGAACATGAGTTACCTCTGATTCACCGGCAAAACATGCAAGACAAAGCAAGGCCTTTGTGTCACACAAACTGTCGAAGTGCCTTTGTTGAGAGTTACAGACACCGTTTGGTTTCCCTTCGAATTTCCAAAGAAAAGACAGACAGCACCTGAATGCCATTGAAAGTTTAGGACACCGTTCGGTTTCCCTTCGAATTTCCCCAAAGAAAAGGGAACAAACAACAAGACCGACAACATCTGAATGTAGGACGCTGCTCGGTCGGTTTCCTGTGTAAAGCCACCTGGGACACCTCCCCCAACCCCGCCCACCCTAAACACCTCGCCGGCCAAGCCGGCCTGCTGATGGGCCATGGATCCGGGAGCAACTTGGAGAAACAGTCCTACTTGGTTGTCGTTGGGAAACATTTTACATTTTTGCTTATTGTGGTTTAGTGGGAAATCCCCACTTAACTGCTAAAATTTATTTTTTTGCTCCCCTTCCAACGTCAACCATGTAATGGGCCCATCAAGCTGAAGGTGGGCCCGGAAAGGTCAAGGAAAAAAAAAGGGACGAGTTTTTGTTGAGGTTCCACTCATAGCTTGGCGGTTCCCATTACCTTGCTTTAGTTACGTTAGGTTTACTGGGCCCATTGCTTGCCAGTTTCCAACGATTATCAGCTTCAGCTCAAGATGCAGTGCCCCCTCGTGCCAGCACAGGTTGGAATGCAGTACTGCAGTACTTGCTGCGGCAACATCACGGTTTATGAATTGACGCGCTGAGTGGAAAATATCTGGTCACTCCCAGGCCGTACATGTGCTTGCTGGTCTATTTGTTGGCTACCGAATCGTAGCAAAATGGGGATTCCTGGATTGATCAAGGCCAGCGTTATAAAGCCAACCTTTCTGCCCTGGGGATCGATCTGGGGGCCATGGGGGCCATGAACCTTGCGTGAGCTTCTCTTTCGACTGCACGAGTTACGAGGCTGTGGACAACTACTACGACCTTCTTGAAGGCTTCGGTGAAGAACAGGCCTGTCGGGCGCGGGAGTACCAAGGTTGCTCCTAAGCGTTTTTTGTTTTTTTTGTTTAAGAAAAGTCAAGCACAGACAATTGGCTCGGCTCGCTTCGGTTTCCCTTTGCCAGAACTCGAGTTTCTATTCTTGCGGCAGTGTCTTTGCAACCACCATTGAAATTTTGCCTGGCCGTCAGTTGCCTCCTTCCAAGATGTTTATTTGCGTTGAAGAAACGATTGAACATTCGAGGTACGGTCAAAGTTGTATGGTCAATTTCGGTGGGACATGGGTAACTCACATGTTTTTTTCCCATAGGCAAGGGGCGCTCATTGATTTCCCCATTTCTCCGGCTAGAATTAAAGTGACCGCTCGCATGCGGCTCCATCCAGCGTCGAGGTGGGGATCCTAGAGGCTCTTAGGCATCTCCCTAGACATACCTAGAAGCTCTGTGGGCTGAAATTTCAGCCGGAATCAGCCGAAAATGCATCAAATCTCAGCCGAAGTCGCAGAAATTTGCCGGAATCTGCAAAAGCAGCCGGAATTAGACCGCTGAGGCTATGATTTTCTAGGTATACATGATGGGGAAGATCACAGTTGATTTCTCGTTTGTTCTCTTTTGCTGCACTGGCCCAAATCGAATTGACGCTCTCAGCTGTAGGCTCACTTCTGCTTCATGCTGGTTCCCAAAAGGCGGCCTTCCAGCTTGGCCGAGGAAGTTAGAACACAAGCTTTTGGTCGTCAATTTAACCTGAGTTTCATGTTTGGGGGGCAAGTTGCTCCAACTGCTCCGGCCTGAGGGCCTAAGAGCCCCAAAGCACCACGGCAATTTGGTTGGCTTGAAGTTTGGGGACCGACGGCTTCAACTGCAAGGCAAGCAATGCGTGAGTTGTTTGTTTCAACTCGGGGTACCCCGCTTTTCTTTGAAGCCAGTCTGCTTAGGGTGAAATGCCCGAGTAACTCAGTGGACTCTCTTATTGCAATTCCACCAAATGCTTCCAACCACAGGACCAACAACAATATTGCGAGAAAATAGGGGGCAATTCATGGTTACCCTGCTTGCAATCTGCAGGGAAGATCACTGGCAAGATTGTCCCCATGTTCGCCTGGGCGCGTTTCACGGGCATTTCCTGGGGTCCGGCTTGAAGGAAAACCTTCTTCAAAAGGCCTCGAGAAGGGAAAGTTTTCCCAGTGACTTGGAGCAGCCCTGAAAATGTTCAAGGCTCCAATGCTCCAATCTTCCAGGTCCCTTTAAAGCATGCATCTCGAACACCGAGGTTCCTGGCTCCCCCACTTCCCTCGTGGGCCTTTTTTTGGCCACTCGCCAGGAGGAGAATGGCGAAGTCCCCGAGGAGGGAGAGGAGGGAGCGGAGGGAGAGGAGGGAGAGCAGGGAGAGGAGGGAGAGGAGGCGCTGGAGGCCGCAGAGGGAGCTGAAGATGCGCATCTTGGTTTCAACCAGTGCCACCTTGTTCGCATGCGAATTCAGAGCCGCAACCCCTTCCCCGTAGCAAACCGCACCCCATTACCTACTGTTGAATGGGGACTCAAGAATCCCCTCTTTTGCCCTAGGGTTGAACAAGCAATTTGCTGAAAGTACACGGGAAGAAGGCCTGTCAGAGGGCTAGTATTACAGTGGGCGAAGTGTGGCATGTTTTTTTTTTTTTTTTTTTTTCCGGCAAGACTTGTTTAGGAGGGCTGGGCTTTGTTTCATGGGGGGGAGCGGGTTAGCCAAGAAAGCCAGTGGTGGGGAGGGGCAACTGCCCAACAGCAGCCACTGATGGGTATCTAAAGAGCGGTTTGGGTGCGGCTTTTGTGGATCCACCCCTGTAGAAAATTAAAAGAGTACCAAAAGAGTATAAAAAAGAACCTACAGGGGAGAAGAACAGGTGAAATCCACAAAAAGCGCATCCAAACCGTTTTCTAGAGTTTATGTTCCCCTTTTATGTTTGCTTTACTTTCCAATCACCAAATCAAGCACGACAAGACCAGGAGTGGACCAGTTGGTTTGGTCCACTGAGGCAGGAGGAGCTGGGCTGGTCAGTGGATACCACTGCGGATGGTGCGGGCGTGAGGGACTTAGAGTGCTTGTGAGCCAGGCTTGCTTCTGGGTGGCTCCCAAGCATCCCCTTAGCCTTTTAGCTTTTTGGTGCTTAGTGGTAGTTTCCATTTAAACCACTCAGAGCTAAACGTATAGCGGGATCTGAGGGCAGCTCGGGAAACCTTTCAATTGCTGAACTGGGGTAGGCTGAGGATACCAAGACTAGGTCCCCCAGCTACCTGGGTGCCCTTTCTCACCCCTTTTTTGCTTGGGAGGGTTCCCCTACTCTAATAGACTACAGAAAAAAGTTGGTACCCTGATTCTAACCTCTCTACTAAACAACCTAGCTGAGGATACCAAGAATCAACCAAGCACGGGTGCCAAATCTCTAGCGTGTAGAAAAAATGGATACCCACAGGACAAAGGGAAACCAACATTGGGGGGGGGGGGGGTACGTTTTTCATGTTGCAGGTGACTCAATCAAAGGGAAGCAAACAATAAAATACACATTCTAGAACTGAGCCTAACTCAAATCATGTCGAATACGTGTTGAGTTTCCCCTGTTGGTTTTTAAGGGAATCTAATCTATCACTCCTGGATATTTTGTCCAGGGAACTCAAAAGCAAATGGAGGCAATCCAGTTTTTGTGGAATGCGGGGCACTCTTTGCAACTTTCCCGGAGGGGGGTGTTGCTTTAAGATGAGCCGAAGAAAGGGGCGCAACCTTGTTTGCGTTGCTGGAGGTGTGGGTTTAAGGAGTTCCTCAATCGAACGGGGGTGAAGGCGCACATCTGAAGCCTGGCGCCTATGTTGTTTTTCCATTGGCCCAATCTTATCCCAATCTTCAGCCGGCGTCATAGTTTGCTCACTCATTAGCCTTCACTCATTTCCTTGTAGCATTTTTTCACTCAGTAAGCAGGCATCAGTTTGACCCAGGCTGATCTTGGTCCAGGTGTCCTTTTAAAGTTTTACGGTCCTTTCATGGGATTTCCCGGCCTTTTCCGGTTACGGTCCTTTTCCGGTCCTTCTCCGGGGATTTCCTGGCCTTTTCCCGGGTCCTTTCCCGGGGATTCCCCGGTTTCCTGCCACCAGCCGAGCACCAGCCCTCAGGGCACCGGTGAGACCGACTTCGAGGAGTACGCGGCAGATCTGGCGGTATCATCGGCTGCTTCCATCGAGGCTGAGGCGCTCGCTTTCGCTTCGGGCCTGGAGGTGGGGTCGAGTCTTACCTTCCAGTTATTATTATTATTATTATTATCATTATTATTATTATTTTATCGTTTTTTTATTATTATTATTATTATTATTATTATTATTATTATTATTATTATTATTATTATTATTATTATTATTATTATTATTATTATTATTATTATTATTGTTATTGTGATTAGTATTATTTATGGTTAGTTTTTTTTTTCATTATCATTTATGTCTATTATTCTTGGTTTATCTATTTTCCCCTGTTGGTTTTAAAGGGAAGCTATCAGTCGTTTCTAGTGGACTTAGGTGGTTGTTCCAAAGAAATCATATGGACTCTACGGTGGGTGGTGGACTCTAAGGTGGGTAGTGATTCTTTTCTTTGGTGCATTTCGCCAAGGGATGTTAGGACTTCAACTTTGTGCCAACGAATGGGTTTTCCGTGTTAAACCACCAAAAGTTAGTCACTTTTAGCAGGGGATTTCGCAACCGAGTTATCTTGTTGTGCGAGAAGGGAATGAGAAATGGAATGAATCTGGACGTTCCTGTAAAAGGACACCTGGCCCGGGATGGTTTTTCAGGATAAAACCCCAACCACTCTTTGGTGCATTTTGTTTGGATGTTAGGAATTTAACTTCTGCCAACGAATGGGCTTTCCCTTAAAACCACCAAAAGTTAAACGTTTAGCAGGGGAGCAGAAAGCAACCGAGTACTGTAAATGATGTCCTTTTTGGCGTCATTCCTTCATTCCGTGCCTATCGCACCAGCAAGTTGTGGCTGGCCTTGAGCATCACACCCGCTATGGCAATACAATGGGCTTGGGTAGTGGATAGATGATTGTATGCAGCAAGGTGTGTTGTCGGATAAACAGACCTGGCCGCTAGTTTGGCTTGGGTTCTCCCCATCCGCGCGCTCTGACGCTGGACTGGGGCTATTGTCCCTTGGCCTTTGGGGCCTATGTGGTTTGGCTGTTAGCAGCTACTGTCTCCAGAGGAAGGGTGCCGCGCCGCCTCAATTTCTGACTTTCTACTTTTTGGGTCTGGACCATGGGCAAACAACGCCTTGGACTTTGTTTGTCCAATCTACTTCGGAGAAGTGAGAAAAGCCATGGGAGTGAGAAAAGCCATGGGAGCCCTCCCTCCCTCCCTCCCTCCCCTCCCTCCCTCCCTCCCTCCCTCCTTCCTCCCTCCCTCCCTCCCTCCCTCCCTCCTTCCCTCCCTCCCTCCCTCCTTCCTTCCTTCCTTCCTTTCTTCCTTCCTTCCTTCCTTAATTCCTTCCTTCCTTCCTTCCTTCCTTCCTTCCTTCCTTCCTTCCTTCCTTCCTTCCTTCCTTCCTTCCTTCCTTCCTTCCTTCCTTCCTTCCTTCCTTCCTTCCTTCCTTCCCCTCCTTCCTCTCCTTTCCTCCCCTTCCTTGCCTCCCCTTCCTTGCCTCCCCTTCCTTGCCTCCCCTTCCTTTCCTCCCCTTCCTTTCCTGCCCTTCCCTCTTCCTTTCCGCAACGGCGATTTGCTTATGTCATGACCCTGGTGGAAAGGGCAGGGAACCCCTTGGATTTGCAACGCCAAGTCTTCCGAATGCACAACTGTTCAGTCAGGCCTTATTTTCAGGGAACCTATCAAGCATTGGCACAGGGGGCAGAAAAAATACAACCACCTAGAGTCTCCATGAGCCTTTAAAATTGGGGTCATGACCCCTTTTTCTCTTTGCGGCTTGTCAAGTGCGCTGAGGGCACGGCGTTTTTTTTTTTTTTTTTTGGGGGGGGGGAAGCAAGTGCAAAAAGAGAAGGTCCGGCCCCAAAAGCAAAACAGCTTTCAGGTAATGACCGATTTTTTATGGGTGGAGACTCTAGGAAGACCTTAAGAGGACCTATTTTGAATAAACAACCTCTCCCTTTTCGAGTTCCCGGCGCCACGTCTCTAGGGCGTCGCTTCGCGTCGCGTCAGGTGGACGCCGCGGCGGAGGCGGCGCTGGCGGCCGAGGCGGCGCTGGCGGAGGAGGCCGCGCAGACGGCGGCGGCCTTCGGAGCCGCTCGACTCCGCCGGAATCGCCGAGAAGCCTCACATGACCTCCAAGTGGTATGTGTGGAATAGCCCCCCAAGCTCCTGAGTTCAGGAACTTCAAACTTTTTGGGTTTGGACCTCCAAATGGTGGTTTATGTGGGGTATGGCCCAGAGATGAAATTACGATGGAAGCCATCGGCGCACTGAGGTGGAAGATGAGGTGCCGGACTTCGGGGAGGAGTTCCCTCAGGAGAACGGCGTGCCGGTGAATATGGAGCTGGAGGCGCGACCCAAGAAATCGGGGAAACAACAACAAAACTGCAGGACTTGCAGCTGCTTCTGGGGGTTATCAAAGTCAGAAAATGACTTCCATTTGCTTAAGAGTCTTTTTTTCCCCTGTTGGTGTTAAAGGGAATCTATCACTAGTGGAAATAAGTTTTTTCCCCATTGTCTTAACCAAATGGAAGATGTGGTTGGTTCCCTTTAACCCACCACTTAGGCGGTGACTTTGGTCATGGTAAAGTAATGAGCCCAGTGCAAGCAAACGGCGTTAAGACCACTTAGGGGGACTGACAAGTGGGTGATATCCTACGGCATCAACCTCTGAGTTTTAACTTGCTGGTGCGATAGCTAGTGAATGAGAAATGGAATGAACCGATCCGGCATTCTCGAAAAAAGGAAACCAGCATTGGATGGTGTACAAGGGTCATTCCCTCATTCCCTACTGAGCACCAGCAGGTGACCAGGGGTTGTTTCCAGGGTCTCCTCGAAGACTATTTGATACTTTAGGGTCGGGAACCGTTCGGCCCATGTGCGTTGGTTGCCTGGAATCTGCGCGGTGGCCGGAGTGAATTGCACCTGCCATGATGTCGCGTTCAACTCTTCGACGCGGGCGCTGTCGCAATGTCAGCCCGTTTTTTGGTATCCCCTTTGTTGAAGGGGGCACAAGGCGTTACCCGGGCCCGACATGTGTGTTAGAACCCTTCAAGTGATAAAATGGGGGCAAGTGGCACCTCCTGGGGTCCCTTCTTCTTTTTTTTCCTTTGTTTGGTTAGTTCCTCACGAGAGTCATCCAGCGGGAAGGGCTTCCCTCTTTCCGGGGTCGCTGACCCTTTGCCGAAGCGCCCAGGCCTATGAAGAGGAGGAAGAGGCAGAGGAGCAAGAGGCGAGCAGATGGTTTCCTTGTTTTCTTTCTTCAACATGGCTGGTCTTTGGGTGCGATCCCTTCTTCTGCAGGCAATCCCCTTCGCTTTGAGTTGCATGCAAGCTTCCAAATTGCAAAGGCCGGAAGCAGATGGATTTTCCATTGCTACAAGATGATCGACCGTTTGCTCGAGGCGGCAACCCTGTGAACCTCAGTGGTGGAACGGCGCCGTAACGTTCGGTTGTCCGACCAAAAGATGTGGCGCCGTTTTCACCTTCAGCCCCTTAATTGGTTTAGAGCCCGGTCGTTTGGGAATGAACGGGTCTCTGGTTCTTGTGGAGGGTACAAGGGAAACCCCTCCTTACCACCAATTAGGGAGCTGACACGTGGCCACTGTTGGTACAGTGGCTGGTTCTCCGGGTCTCGGGCGTCCTTTTCACCGTCATCCGAAGGGTAACATTGAAAATGAAGGTTCGGGTAGTACGTAGCCTTGAGGCGCAGAACGTCGATAGGGATGTTCACAGAATTAGGAATTGGGGACCTCCCAAGCAGCGGCTTCCTTTTGGATCGACCTTTAAACCTTTTGAATGTCCCTCGTGGGTCCACTTTTGGTAAAGGTCCCAAAAGGTGAAAACCTGTTATGCCCAGGTGCTTTGGGCAAGTTAGAAACGGCTACCCGAACGAAAGGTCGACTCATATCGAGTTGCAGGAGGGTGACGTCATTGAGAACCCTCCAGAGGAGGAGGCCACTCAGGCCCCTTAGCTCTTCAGAGCTTCGTGTTTCTCGAGGGAATCGGTCAAATGGTTGGTGTCCCTTTGGTTTTGTTTCTAAAACCCAAACCAAACACGAGTAAAGGCCATTTGGAGAAGCTCCCTTTGCGGTTTCCTTAAACCCCCAATCAAAAGGGCGCCAACGCCCATGTTGAGAAGCTCCCTCATACCTCCGGCGCCCCAGCGGAAGCAGCGCAACGACACAAAGACAACCGCCAAACCCTTGCGAGGGCGGTCTTTCCCGGGGGGGGGGTAGGGTAGGGACGGCAGTTCACCGAAGTGGTGTTCTATGCGCTGGGTGTGTTCGTGGTGTCCCAACGTTGCCCAAAAAACGAGTGGCCGATTCTTTTCGAAGAGTGTCTTCGCCTCGAAAAGTGGTCCGGATGAGCCCTGAAAGGGGCACAATGCCCTATGAATAAACCAGCGGTTCTTACAGGATCCTCGTGTTCCTCTTGCATGGTCCTCATGACCCAAAGGCCACAGGCCACGCTTGGTATTTCCCAGCTTGGGCTGCACCAAACCAACCAAAGGCATGGCCTTCATGTTCAGTCGTCCCAGTTTACTTTGACGGCCGTAACAAAAGCAGACTGTTTGAGTTGCTTGATGGTTTGGACATGTGCCTTCCATGGTTGGCTTGCTTGCTGAAGAAACCCCAAAGCTGGCGTTTGTTCCGGGGGAAGCAATGGGAGTTTACTGCATGCAGGGGAGCACAGAAAGTCATACATGATCAGCACGGGCTGCCTTTCCTTTGCAAAACCCCCCTTTTGGCAGACGCTTTTTTGCCTGATAGAACCTGCTGCTTCAGTCAGTTTTTGCCCTCACTGATTGTGGCGGATGGCAATTGGGCTTGGTTCAGCTTTTAGTGGCATCCATCTAGTCACCTGAAGTGAATGAGCTTTCCCATGAAGGTCCCCCAGTAGTGCCCTTTCTCACCCCTTTTCTTGGGGAGGGTTCCCCTACTAAAATAGACTACCGAAACAAGGGTACCCTTAATTCTGGCCTCTCTACTGGAGGACCTAGCCATGATGAAGGTCCGGTACCTCCCAATTCCAGTTGTTTGGGGTGCCCAGCCCTTTTGTTTGCCCGCCAGACACCTAGGAGCACCCAATAGGCATGCGCATGCGCATGCCGGATCCGCCTCGCTGAGGCGCCCGAGGAAGACGCGAGGCGGAAGCTGAGACGGATCCCGACGGGGTTTGCCTGTTGGTCATAGACAGAAACCCAAGGCAGCCCCCCACAACTTTGGCGCATGTTGCTTGGACGTTAGGACTTTACTTTTTGCCAACTACCAGGTTTTCCAGTAAACCACTAAAAGTTAAACTTTTAGCAGGGGAGCAGAAAGAAACCGAGACAAAAAAAACTTCGGATGGAACTTTCTGAGGGGTTCTTTGGAGGGTTCCGAGATCCTTGCTGAGTCGCCCAAATGTCTCGCCTTACGTTGGACAAAACCCTGAAAGCACGGCTGATCATGGCGCCCTGGCTCGGACAAAGGCCTTCTGCTAGGTTCCACGGATGCTTTTTGAGGGTGAACAGACACCTTCTGGTAGGTGCTATATTTGCGAAAGGGCCTGAATCGGCATGTGCAGGTATGGATGCAAGGTCACCATAAATGTCGAACAAGCTGGGCACCTTGCAACCTACCTCATTTTTCCACGTTTTTTTTTTTTTTGTTGGCTCACGTCTGCATTTTTTGTTCAAAGGGATTTGGCACTTGGCTAGAATTTTGGTGGTTGCTAGGGTTTTGGTTCACGAAACCCAGCGCCCTGGGCGCTGAATGGACGACCAGCGACCAGCTCGCGACTGACTCGCCAGGCTGGCTGATGAGTCCGCAGGCCATCGTCGCTTTGGGTGTCGACGCGGGTGACGCTCGCTCCCCCTTTTGCCCGTAAAACGTTCATGAAGTTGATTGCCCCATGGAATTCTATTCGTGGAATGGCATAAACTGGCAACCCTGGCATGGGTAAATTTAGTGAGTTCCATATTGGTAGTTGACTGATTGTTGCCCTTCCCTGAATGAATACGGGTTTGTCATGTTTGGTTGGCACCCTTTTGGGGGTTGGTTTTTAGTGTATATATATATATATGGTACCAATTTGTATGGGAGACCAAAGGGAAACCCGAAGCCATTTCAAGGGTCCCCTAGTTCAAGGTCGCCTATCGCCAGGCTCGCGAAAGCGGCCCAGAGACCCCGCCACCCAGGACAGCGGGCATGGAATGGGCCAAATGGTTTGAAGGTGGCAGACGGATATGTATATATAATTATATATATATATATACACATTATATGTATATATATATATATGTATATATATACATTAGTCTGGGAAGCTTGCATATTTCCGTTTGCTTGTATGTGCTTGCTCTCTGTGTTTGCGTGTTTGTCATTCTGTGTTGTCGCTTTTTGAAACATGTGATTTCCACGAATCGTGTCATTTGCCTGTCATGGATGCCGTCCGATGTCCAACTTGATCCTGTGTTGGCGTATTTGGTCCTAATTATATTCTTGGCAAGTGTGTCTGTTTGTGTGTGCATGTGTCAGGTATTCAAGAGTTTTGACCACACATGTTGAGTGTTGCAGGCATTTGTTCTATCTTGATCACAAGATTCCAACCCCCTCCCCAACATCCGCAACCCACGCATTCAGTGCCATTCGCTGCGAACAGAAGTTCACTTCCCCTCTAGAGGCAGAAACGCATGTGTGTTTATCTTTGAAGCTGGGTTGTTCAAAATCAATCCCTCATCCCTGCACCAGAGGATGGTGATTTATCTTTCTACCAGAGGGTAGCGGTTTCCCGTGGATAGCCACTGCCAGGCTTCACAAACTGGTGTTTCCCTTTGCCCTTGGTTTGTTTTGTTCCTTGTAGCCCGCATCAAGTGGTATCATGACATTGAATGTAGCGTACCCTTCAGGAAGGGTACAGTGCCATCTTTCCGAAACACCGTGGAAAGTCCGTCAGCTTATACTTCTGGAACGAGCATGGCCACCATAGCAGAGATGTTTGTTAACTCACGTGGCATCTGCTGAACAGGTTTTCCAAACAGACTTTCGGCAAGGGATTGACTGGGGTGATATTACTACTATAAAAGGTCAATCCGCTCGACGATGTTCCAACCTCAACTCGTGTTGGCCTTCCGGATAGTTTTGAAGCCCCATGGCTCAACTTGTGCTGCTGGTGTGAAAACAAAACATACTCATTCAGCAGTTCGTACTTGCCCATGTTGAAACGCTTTTCCCAAGAAGCATCCAAACAGGAAACAGGCGGTTAGAGGTCCAACCTTCTTGGTCAACGTTCAACCTCTGAACAAAAAGGCATTGCAGGTAGCAGTGTGCATGTCATGCCTCAAGCAAACAGCGCCCCAAAGACTAGAGGCCAGTCTTCAGCTTCTCAGCTTGGGAAGGAGTTGCTGAGGGACGTGACTCCTGCAGCTCAGCTGAGAATCGACGGAGCCAACTCGCCCTGACGTTCTGTTGATATTTCTTTGGTGTTTTTTGCTTGAATGTAGGACTTTAGCTTGTTGCCAACAAATGGGTTTTCCATGCACTTTTAGCAGGGGAGCAGAAAGCAACCGAGATTTGCTGTAGTCTATGCTCAATTTTGCCGGGGCATGGGAGCTTCGCTGCATTCCCACATAACAAGGCGGGACTCTGGAACTGTTCCATGCCGCTGGCCAATCACCTGTATGCCGGTTCTGTTCTGTGCATGGACAAGATCCTGCACCTCTTTGGATTGTGGGCTAAACATGTAAACACCACATCTAGGTCCCCCCTGTCTCACCCCTTTTGTGGTTGGGAGGGTTCCCCTACTAAAATAGACTAGAGAAAAAAAGAGGTGACCTAGACCTCTTATGTGATGCGAAATGCATTTCGCAACCATCCACAGTTTCTCTCGCTGGCTCAAGGAGCAGCGGCCTTGATGGCACTGCTGTATGCGTGTAGAGGTCGAACAGGTGCCTATGAGATACAGTGGATGGACAAAATCCGTCCCCAGTGGGTAGGTTGTTTGTTTGTGTAGTCATGCTGGGCATGCACTGCATCCATTTAGCACCACCTAAGAAACCTGATGGTTCCCCTGTAAGTATCAACAAACAATGGCTTCCCCTGGTTTCAGAGTGGCACAGGATTTCAGTGGGCTTTCTTCCATCCCAACTGTTGCAGGTGTTTGTCCATCCGCAGTACCGCTGCTTCAAGCATTAAAAGCGAGGTTCCCTTTGGGGTGGCACCTATGAAACACCCCACGGGCTTGGTTTCCCCACACAAGATTGAGGTTGAGCAACCGGACGGCTTGTTGGCTGAAGACATCCATTTGGGACAACTGACCAAAAACTGCCAGAATTGCACATGATTTACCCTCACTTCTGTTTTTCTCCTCTTCTTGTTTTGGGAGAGGGGGGGCGTCCATCATGTCCAATCAGCGACAAGCAACACAACAATACACGAACACATAGTTTTCTTTGCGGATGAGTCGCTGGTCAAGTCTAGTTTCGCTGTGAGTAGTCCTTGCATGTTCCTGCGAGTGTTGCGGTGTTCGCTCTCCCAAATCCAGTCCAGGCCAGTTTCGCTTGAATTCTGCAAAAGGGAAAAGGGCAAACTGTGGGAAACCTCAGGGTTGAAATGAGAAGCCACCCCCCAGAAATCCTGAAAAAACCTGCAAGTAGAACAAACAACAAACCAACAAACCAACAAACAAACAAAACCACTCCCCCAGCAATCCGGTAAGCAATTCGAAAAAATGCAAGAACAAACAAACAAACAAACAAACAAACAGTAAAAAAAAAGAAGAGAAAGAACTCACCCCCAGCAGCGAGGCAGCTCTGCTGGGGAAGCTTCGGAGGCTGGACCCAAGTGTCGCCACGGAGGGGAACTACATGGTGGACGCCACTTGGCCGGCCGAAAGTCGGCGCCGGCGCTCGCTCGGTTCCCCTGCTGGCGCTTGAGTCGCTTTTTTGGGGTTTAAGGTTGCCGACATTTCCCGAGTTTCTGGACCTGAGTTGCTTTTGGTTTAGTGGCTGTTGGGGCCATCCAGTCGATCGGACATACTTGACACCGGGTGTGAGATCTGCTCCAAAGTTTTTGAGATCTTGCCGGTTGGATGGGCAGGGGATGAGAAATGGAATGACCCAGAGATAAACCATCCAACTGGGGGCTTTTATGGGACCAAAGCCTGGGTTCATTCCCAACATCCTGAGCACGATCAAGAGATACTTTAGTACAGAGGATGGCCGGCTTCATTGTGAGTCTTGGGAAGCCGGAAGTCATGGATGTAGGAACGAGTGAAGCGAGAGACGGGTGAAGGAAAGAGACATCTCTTCGTCTCGCATCCTCGCCTATCATTGGTTGGGTCACAAGGCATTTCTATCAGACCCAACACTCACTTCATTCGTTTCCTCTCATGTCATCTCCTTGACTCGTCGCCTCGTTTCCCTTTCCTCTCGTCTATTCTCACCCTTTATCACCTCCTCCCTACATCAGATTCTTGGAGGTGGGTGATAGGGTGAAAAGACGAGGAAAGGCCCGGCAGTTAGAGATCTTGATGAGCCGGGGAGAAAGGACAGTGGATAGCGAGTCTTCTCTCGCATGCATTCCTCTTCCCTTCACACTCTCTGCTCAGCCTTCTCTGGAATGCATTTATTTGAAGCATAATCCGAACATATTGTTTGGCGGACGTTTTGGGAACGAATCGCAGATGAGCAGGAATGGTACTGCAACATTAATGCTCATGTGAGTTTACTTGAAGTCTGTTTGTTTCCACGTTTTTTGTTGGTTCTGCGAAGCCATTCCCCCAAGGACCTAAATACAGTGGATCACGAAATCCTGCACCACCTAAGACACCCTCGTTTCTGATTCGATTCCCCAAGACAAATTCCAACAAACAAGTGATGGTTTCAGCGGTTCATTTCGAAATGGAGTGCCGCAGTGGCTCCAGTTCTTGTTGGGTGCTTCATCTGTGTTTCTTTCCACCTTTTTGCGAAGCCAATCCCCCACTTAAAGGGGCAAGGTACTTAGTACGTGGTTAGTAAGCCTGTTTGCAACCCACTTAGGAGACTTACAACCATGGTAAGTGGGTTATAACCACGTCGCTCTTTTCACTTTGTGCACATGAAGCCTTTTGTTGATCAAGAGAAAAAGAGCCCCACTGCGTCTTCGCGGGTTCGAGGGTTATGAGCCCAACGCCATGAGTGAAGGCTCGATGCAGACGCCTTCCGACAAGGACCTCCAGCTGGCTCTCGTGGCTCCCCAGGAGGAGAAGGCGGAGCACCCTGAAGGTGCACCTCAGGCCTTGGGGCCGCAGATGAATCCCTTCTGGTCGCAGCGGGCATGTGATGAAGCCATGCTGAAGGCCATGAGGCCGAGCACGCTTTCGGAGGACCAGGGTGGAGATGCCCAGGTGGCCGTGCAGGCCAGCCCACCCAGGGAGATCACTGGCGCGGAGCTGGTGGGGTGGTGGAGGAAAATGCCAGGCTTTGGCACTACATCAACCAGATGCAGAAGGCCAAGGATCGGGACTACCAGTCCATGCAGGCCTCCTTCAAGGAGAAGTTGGTTGGGCGCAATGAGAGGCCCGGATGCTGCTGGACCCGGTGCTTGGTGGGCTGAGGCCGCCGGTGGAGGTTGGCCGCAGTGGGCATGGCCTGGGGCACAGAGCTCTTCAGCCTTGCCGGCTTGGGGTGGAGATGGACCGACTTCATCACCTGGCCTTGGAATTGGGTCGACTGCCAAAAAGGCACTTCTGGACCTTCTAGGTGGAGTTCGTGGATGGCCTCCACAGGCCGCTGGCGATGACCCGCATGGAGCTGGTGATCAAGGACAGCCAGATGTACAGGCCTTTGGTTCCGCCCGCGCTCATCATCCTGGGCATCAACAAGGGCAAGGTTCAGGAGTCCCTCATGGTGCTGGTTCTAGCGGCAAAATGGAGCCGGTGGTGCTGGGCCGAACGGCAATGGAGCCGGTGGTGCTGGTCCGGCAGTGGGGCCGGTGGCGGGGCCAGCGGGGGATATGACGGCGGTCCTGGCGGCAATGGAGCCGGTGGATTTCCGGGTGGTATGGGAGGTGGACCTCCTGGCTATCCCGGAGGTGGTGGTTTCCCGGGTGGTCATTTTCCTGGAGGAGGTCAGGGTGGTTCCGGTGGAGGGCTTCCTGATCATGCTGGACATGGCGGTTTCCCGGGTGGTCATTTTCCTGGAGGAGCTGCTCCTGGTGGAGGTCCACCTGGCGGTCCCCCAGATGGTCATGGAGGAGGGCTTCTTGGCGGTCTTCATGGAGGAGGCGGTCAACTTCCTGGATGGCTGAACGGGGTAATGGCAGGTCAGGAGGCGGTGAGAACGGTGGAGCTGGCGGAGTTGCAGGACCTCGCAACAGCCGAGCAGGACATGGGGCCTTTGCTGGCGGGAGATTGGATGATGATGATCTCGCCCTTCATGTCCGACCTCTCGTCATTTTCGTCTGCGTGGTGGCAGGAGGTGCTTCGGGTGGCGAATGAATGCTACCAGCGGTGGCTCAATGCGGATCCTCTTGAACGTCTTCGGCTTCTTCCGGAGGCGCCCTTAGCGTTTTCGAGGGCACCTTGGCTACGCATTGAGCAGTGGGCCAAGTCGCCTTGCTGAAGGCGGTGCCTGAATCTCTACGAGGTGAACTGATTGCCCAGCGGAGGGCGGACAGCATCTCCATCATCTTCAAGGTCTTGAAGACCTACCAGCCTGGAAGCCTGGCCGAGAGGAGTTCCTTGCTTAAGCAGCTGGTTGACCAGCGCATCCCCTCAGGCATCGGCGAATGGCTGTCTTCTTTGAGGACGTGGCGAAGGTGGCTAGTGCGGGTGACGGAACTACGCATTCAGCCTCCTGATCCAGTTCTTCTTTTGGCCACTCTGGACAAGTTCGCGGTGGTCCTTGGAAAGATTTCTGCCCAGGTGTCGTTCAGGCTGCAGATAGCTCGGGCAGCACTACGGGTGGACGTGGCACCATCGCCACATGGAATCCTGCAGTTTGCGGACACGCTGCAGGCGGAAGGGGAGACGGTCTACCACGGAGGTGGGGCGTCGACCAAGGAGGCTGTGACCATGGAGGTCAAGGACACGCCCAAGGCCTACGACCGGGACTACAAACCTCGGGAGCCCGACAGGGAGAAGGGCAAAGGCAAGGGCAAGGGGAAGAGCACTGCGGCCTGCAGGTACTTCCTTTCGGAATCAGGTTGCAAGAAGGGGCAGGCGTGCGGCTTTGCTCATGAATGGGGGGAAGAAGGCAAGATTGGACGATGCTGGCGCTGTGGAAGCAGTCAGCACATGAAGCCGGACTGCCCAGCGAGGGAGGTCACAAACCCCAAGGTGAAAAAGGATAATTCTCCGGTGAAGGAGAAGGACAAGTCCGAGTTTGAGGAGGTGGCAGTGGAAGGGACCAAGGTCACTATTTTGTCGCCCTCGCCTTCGGCGGCTCCACCTACGGAACAGGTGAATGGAGAGCTGGTGAAGGAGGCGGTGCAGCTTCTCAGGTCATTACCCCGGACGAAGGCCGTGAAGGTCAGTTCGATGCGGGAGGGCAGTGGAGAGAGGGCTTTGCTTGATGGCGGGGCTACTCATGTGCTTCGGTCGGCTCGCTCCATGGAGGAGTTTCAGGATGCGGTGCCCATCCAAGTGGAGTTGGCGGCGGGTGAGGTGACCTTGAGGCAGGACCCCGCCACGGGCACGTTGCTCACGGACTATCCGGTCCAGACGATCATTCCCCTTGGGAGGATTGCGCGCCTGGGCTACAAGATCTTGTGGCAGCACGAGGAGTTCGAGCTAAGAGACCCTCGGAGCGTGGAGATCCCGGTGGAGCTTGAGCTGGGCTGTCCCACAGTGGCGCAGGAGGTGGCAACGGAGCTCATCGAGCGCCTGGAGAAGGAGGGAACGGAAATGCAGAGGCGCCTCAAAGCCCTGAGGGCGGGGGAGCCGGGGGAGGTCAACTCCAAGGTTTGGAGGTGGATGGTCGACATCAAGGAGTTGTGGCCGGACCTCTCTGATGAGATGATCGTGAGGATCCTTCCGGCCAATGGGAAGGTGCGGCTCTGCCCTGGAATAGGAGGCAGAGGAAGAAGTTTTTGTCGAGCCCATCCGTCATTCTGGACTTGTTCTCTGGGCCGGATCAGAGCTGGTGGAAGAAGATGATGGAGACCTCAGCAGCGACCAGGACTTGTTGCTGGACCAGGTCGCAGGATTCTTGGCGGAGGTGCAGTTGATGCCCTGCTTGGTGGACCCCCTTGCCGTACAGTGTCGAGGCTTCGGCATCAGCGACCCGGCCCACCGGTTCTGAGAGCGCGACACAGGTTTGCGCTGGACTGCCTCAGTGAGGCGGATCGAGAGCTGGCCCTCAATGATGCGACGCTGTGGTTTAGGCAGCTGTGGTTGTTCTCCCTGGCTCAGGGAGCAAGGAAGGAGAAGGTGCGCTTCCTGAAGGAACACCCTCGAGATCCTCAGGAGTACAAGGCGAAGTCCGACAGCACCGACTACCCGAGCTTCTTCGCCTGGCCTGAATGGGCCTCCTTCAAGAAGAAGTTCGACATCAAGGAGGTGAAGCTGGACTTGGGTGGCTTAGGCCACGAACGCCGCAAGCCCACTACCTTGGGCACGAACATCAAAGCCCTAGGCCTTCTGGATGGCCTTTCGGCGGCGAATGTGGAGGGGAAGAACGTGATGAACATCCCTTTGGAGCAGAAGGTCAAGGAGACCAGGTCTTGGGCCGCATGGCCTGAGCCCTTCAAGCTGAAGATTGTGGAGGGTCTTCGTCTGGAGTTGGAGCACCCGGTGGTGTCGAAGATGTAGAGCGATGATTGGGCCCGGCATCGGGCGCTGGACCACATGCCGTTCAACAGAGAGTGCCCGGAGTGCCAGAAGGGTGCTGGTCGTTCACGGCCCCACAGGCGCATTCCTGCACCAGACACGTTTACGCTTTCCCTGGATTTGTGCGGGCCATTCCGCCCGGGGAAGGATATGGAGGAGGCAAAGAGCCGCTATACATGATGGTGGGAGTCTTCGCGATCCCCGTCGCCAGGAAAAGCAGAGAGCTGGTTCCTTTGGTGCCCGGGTTGGGGGAGATCCTTGCTAAGTGGGCCAACTGGTGTTGATTGGAGGAGTGGCGGCGCTGGCCCAGAAGGTCAATGAGATGGGCCTGGACAAGGCCAGACTGCTGCTGGCAGGCGATGAGCCGCATCAAGAAGGGCGTCGTGGAGGTGCTCTGGAAGAGGTGAAGGCCGTCAAGGTCAGGGCTTTGGCGCCGAAGGAAAGGCGTTTGCCGTGGGATGAGGAGTGGAGTGGTCAGGAGATGCTTGACCCGATCACGGATGGAGAGGTTTGGCGTTCAGGGCGTTTTATTGGGAGAGCGCTTGGACGTCGAGGACGAGGAGCAGAGGCCACGTGTGATGAGGTCAGGGATCTAGGGGCTACTTCGGAATCCGGCTCTATGGCATCTTCCCGTGCAGGAGCTCTATGGTGGCTTCATGGACCTTCCCGGAAAGTGATGAAGGTGGACTGGAGGAATGGAATCAGGAGGGTGTAACGCCCATGCAGACCTCGTCGGTGAGATTGAGGCGGAACTCTATAAGATCCTGGCCGACTACGCCTACTACGAGTGGAGGAATGGGCCTTGGGAGCTTGATCCTCTGCACGCAGGTGGTGCAGACAGAAGCCCAGGATGGACGTCGAGAAGGTGAGGGCGGCTATGAGCTCGTGATCTTCGTGGTGGTGGTGTCCTTCATTGCCATCATGTGCTACAGGGTCGTGGAATCGACCGTGCGGGCGATCTTGGAGCAGAGGAATCGGCTGCCGGAACCTGCAGGCCCGGAAGTGCGAGAAGTGCAGACTGAGGCCGTGGAGACGGAGGAGGACATGAGACGGAGGCTTCGGGAAGAGGTCAACCGGACCTTCCGGCTTGAGCGAGTCAGGAGGTTGCAGGAGGAGAGAGAAGAGGAGGAGCGTTTGGAGCGCCGGCTGGAACAGCAACAGCGCGAGTTGAGCGTGCGAGAAAGCTCTGGAGCTGAGGAGGAGGTGATGACGTTTGAGCGTCGCTCGCCTAGCACGGCCACGGAATCGGCGTCATCATCTGCTGATGGCCTTCGCAGGCGAGGTCAACACCCACTGCAGCGGGAGCTGAGGCAGCTACGTGAAGAAGCTGAACAAGGTGGTGAACCGGAGCCGGAGAATGTGGTGGCACGGCGGGGGGCTATGGTGGAGCTCTACCACGTCACGTCCTTCGGGGAGCGCTATCACTGGACTCGGGATTGCTGGGGATTGCGCGAGGCATCCGGGCCATGCTCCCTTGCCCGAACTGCTGGCTGGGAGCGCATCATCAAAGGGGAAGGAATGGAACCGCGTGGAGGGGCTCTGATGGCTATCTCCACTCGGCGAACAACTGCATCCCCATGGACGAGCATTTGACCACGATCCGAGGGCTTCCACTACGCCCTTGCCGCTTTTGCATGAGCGGCATCACTTCGGATCCGTCGATGAGATGAGTGAACAAAGGCTTGGGCTGTGGCCGAGGATTTTCCATTTTGGAGATGGCCCCTGGGAGCGACAAAATCCCAGGCGAGCCTGTGAGGGGAGCATGTCGCTCTTTTCACTTTGTGCACATGAAGCCTTTTGTTGATCAAGAGAAAAAGAGCCCCACTGGGGTTCGAGATAACCATGGTTACTACCTACTTGCCAAGTACCCTGCCCCTTTAAGCAGGGCCAAAAAATACCAAACTCCGCCGTGCGAATTTCTCAGGGCGAGTTGGAGGCAGAGGCGCTGGCGGAGGACTTCCAGCTCACCAAGGACTACTCCGCGCAGGACTCAAACGCCGATGCCGAGCCATTCCCCGTCGGGGGGTCAACCGGAGAACGCCCCCGCAGTCGCCCAGTAGCTGCCCTTTATTTTACTTGTTTTTGTTTGTTTTTTTCTGGCCAAACGTATAACAAGTTGGGAGAGACGCGGGACTTGGATTCCAGATTTTTTGGAAGACAAGCTTAATGGCAAATAGGAAGGTTTGGAGCTCTTTCTTGGCCCATCCACTCAGAGAGTGAGAAAATTGTGTTGAACATACCTGGCACAAGTGGCCAGCCAGGCCAACGCAGACAACTTGTTTATGCATTGGTTGACTAAATCCACTCGGGGAAACAACAACTGAAGTTCAGCAACTCGGCGATTCGTGAAAGAAGGGACCCAAACGCTACTCCACAAAGGGCTTAAGGGATGTATAATGGGCTGTGGTTGGATCAACTTGCTCAATATGTTGTTGACCTCAAGTCTAAGTTACGATTGCCATCCATGCCCTGCTGGTCTGCCTCCAAACAGCCAGCTGGCCTTGGGCTTCTCACGCAACCAATCTGAAACCTTTGACTTGAGGGCATGGCGGGTGAACTTAGATGTCCACCTAGTGATACAAGTCTGGTTGCGGTCCGACTTGAACTAATCTCACTGGCTGAGTGGATGGCCCAAAAAAAATGAACTTTTTATTTACCACTAAAATGGTCTTTCCAAAAAGTTTAAAGTCCACCAACTCAGGAAGTGAGCTAAGGAGTCTCTGACCAAACTTGCTATCATTAGCCCGTGTTACCCCCTCGAGGTGGGGCTACAATCCCTGTCCCATCATTCTCCGCCTGGTCGCCTTGAGCCGTCCAACGTGGTTCCAATCCCAACAAGCCCGCAAGGTGTCACGGGAGCAAAATGGGTTCCTGAAACGGGCAAAGTAGGGACAAGCTCTGCCCTCTAGTTTTGATGTTTCTCAAAACTATGAACCCCATTCCCTTCAGGTGGTTCCCTTTTGCCCTTTCTATCCATCCAAAACAGATCCAAATCGCAGATTCTACTCTTGGTTTCCCCTTCCAGACAGATCCAAACAGTGGACTCCATCTTCTTAAGCACCCATCCAAACAGATCCCAAAACAGTGAACCCCATGTTCCTTCAGAAAGCGCCCGGAAACGAGGCGTTGACGTTCTCAGATACCCAGTGGCCATGGTAAAAAATAAATAAATATTTTTTGTTTGGTTGCTTGACTTTCAAGGGGGACCCTTCCCCGGAGGATTATAACCAAGCAAACGGGTTAAGACCACTTGGGAGGCTGACAAGTGGGTTGTTTCCCATGGCATCAACGACTGACTGAGTTTAAACTTGCGGTGCTCAAGAGGTTTTCCTTATGAAAGGAAGCCGCAGAAAAAAAAGGGATGGATTATAGGGGTCATGCCCTCATTGGTGCTCCCCTAAAAAAAGACACGCCCACCCATCTAAAAAAACACAGTGGGGATGCGTTTTTTCGTGGATTTCACTTGTTCTTCCCCCCAGTATTCTTACAGGGGTGGATCCACAGGTTCGCCGCTTCCGAACTGTTGCCTTCGCGAGTACAAGAGGAGCAATGTATGGAGGGTACGGCATTGGGGAAATTCACAGGTACTTGTTGCTCACCATGAGCCACACGCCCTGAACGGGAACTCCGGAATCCAGCGCATCGTTTTCCCGGCAGGCGCTGGAAGAGGCGCTGGGGCCCATGCGCTCCGCGGTGCAGCGGGTGCAGAGCCGGGTGAAGTTCCCGGAGCAGTCGGACGGCATCACCGCGCCCTGGCGCGAGTGGAAACAAATCCCCCAAGAACTGCCTAGACTCTCCTTCTGACCCTTCAAAAACTGGTTGGTCATTGCCCAAAAGGAAGGGGTGATGACCCCATTTTTAAAGGGTCGTGGAGACTCCAGGTGGAGTTTTCCCCATGCCGAAATCCAAAAAGCAGTGGTTGGGGGGGGGGGGGGCGGTGCTGGCAAATGCATGTTTTGTTGGACAAATATGAGTAGAGGCCAATACCACCATCAGAAACCGATCGATCGTCCGAAGTGAATCAGTTTCGATGCGGGCGGGTCGACTCAAGGAAAGGTAGTCAGAAGCTGAACATGTTCGGTACCCAGAAGCTTACATACTCAGCAGACGTCTCTTTCTTTTGTAGGCGCCGCGGTTGGGCCAAGCAGCTGTGCTGCTATTTGGGTGGATGGTTGCCTGCCCCAGAAGCCAAACAGTTAAGTTCTTTGGGCTTGTCCAGCGGCACAGTTTGTCCATGCTTGTTGAACATTGGGGGGGGGGGGGGAGGTTGTCAGTTTCTGTGATACCACGGCGCTCCCTTCAAAGTGAAGCAGGCATGGGAAGCAACCGCTCTGCTGTCACAGACCGGCGTATTTTCCACAAGCATGCACATGTTGTCGCATGAAGGCTACATAGAGCAAACAAGCACTTGACGGGGGGGGCAGTTTCTGGGATGTTGCGTGGACTGCGTGTCTCTGTCTCTCCTAGGCTCGGGGTAGAACAACCAAGCTCCGAGCGGCGTGCATGATTTCCCCACCCCCGCATAACCCAAGAACCTTCTTGAACGGGTTCGGTGGGCAGGGACAAGATTCCCATGTTCAAACCTCACATCCAATTGGTGGATTGGAGACAGTCATTCCCTTCCACTTTGCCATGACACCTAGGGAGGAACATCATCTTTCACGAACCTCCACTGAGATTCAATGGTTCGAAGGTGTCCACTTGAAGACTGTTGATTGGTTTGTCTCCACCCCCATCCTCCATCCCTGCCCTCACCCGGCAGGAGGGCGGATGCAGAATGGGTAAGTGAATCTTGTAGTTTGTTGATCCTGTTTTTGGGTGCTTAAACATTTTCTTCGGGGGGAAGTTCCGTATCCTGTATAGCGACACCCAAGTGTTTGGAATAACGGTGTGAGTGCAAGAGAACAGCATTGACGCCGATTTTGCCAAACATGGGTTTGTCCTTCTTGCAAGTTGGTACCCATGCTAAGTTTTAAAAGGACATCACAGGAAAACACCTATGTTGGCAAATCTTACTTGAAAACCCCAAAGCGCTAAAGGGGGCGAAGAGTCACTCCATATGCCTTGTGTCCCTGCATCGCATCCCAGGAGATCTATCCAGGCGCCGCTCCTTTCCGCACCGGCGCTGGGAGCCACTTCAACTTTGTGTTTGGGTGCAAGCTTGACTTGTTGGTTTGTTGATGCGCTTGCTGATTCAATGCTTGTACGCTTGCTTGCTTGCTTGCTTGCTTGCTTGCTGGCTTGCTGGCTGGCTTGCTGGCTTGCTGGCTTGCTGGCTGGCTTGCTGGCTTGCTGGCTTGCTGGCTGGCTTGCTGGCTTGCTGGCTGGCTGGCTTGCTGGCTGGCTTGCTGGCTTGCTGGCTTGCTGGCTTGCTTGCTGGTTTGCTGGCTGGCTGGCTTGCTGGCTTGCTTGCTGGCTTGCTGGCTTGCTGGCTTGCTGGCTTGCTGGCTGGCTTGCTGGCTTGCTGGCTTGCTTGCTGGCTTGCTGGCTTGCTGGCTTGCTGGCTTGCTGGCTTGCTGGCTTGCTTGCTGGCTTGCTGGCTTGCTGGCTTGCTGGCTTGCTGGCTTGCTGGCTTGCTGGCTTGCTGGCTTGCTGGCTTGCTGGCTTGCTTGCTGGCTTGCTGGCTGGCATGCTGGCATGCTTGCTGGCTTGCTGGCTTGCTGGCTTGCTGGCTTGCTTGCTGGCTTGCTGGCTTGCTGGCTTGCTGGCTTGCTGGCTTGCTGGCTTGCTGCCTGGCTTGCTGGCTTGCTGGCTTGCTTGCTGGCTTGCTGGCTTGCTGGCTTGCTGGCTGGCTTGCTGGCTTGCTTGCTGGCTGGCTGGCTGGCTGGCTGGCTTGCTGGCTTGCTGGCTTGCTGCTGGCTGGCTGGCTTGCTGGCTTGCTGGCTTGCTGGCTTGCTGGCTGGCTGGCTGGCTTGCTGGCTTGCTGGCTTGCTGGCTTGCTGGCTTGCTGGCTTGCTGGCTTGCTGGCTTGCTGGCTTGCTGGGCTTGCTGGCTTGCTGGCTTGCTGGCTTGCTGGCTTGCTGGCTTGCTGGCTTGCTGGCTTGCTGGGCTGGCTGGCTGGCTTGCTGGCTGGCTTGCTGGCTTGCTGGCTTGCTGGCTTGCTGGCTTGCTGGCTTGCTGGGCTTGCTGGCTTGCTGGCTGGCTTGCTGGCTTGCTGGCTTGCTGGCTTGCTGGCTGGCTTGCTGGCTTGCTGGCTTGCTGGCTTGCTGGCTTGCTGGCTTGCTGGCTTGCTGGCTTGCTGGCTTGCTTGCTTGCTGGCTTGCTGGCTTGCTTGCTTGCTTGCTTGCTGGCTTGCTTTCTTTGCTTGGGAGCCAGAGTTGCCAATGTTCACTTTGTATTCTGGTGAACTGCAAAAGCACACCAAACCCTCAGGAACGATGGGGAGACTGCTTCCCGACGTGCTTGGCCTTTTCAAGACGTTTTGCAAGTTGCTCACATGAACCTTTGAACCGTTTTTTGCAGAGGGTAAATGGAAACCACCCCCCTTGCAAAAAGGGGCCATTGTTTTTGACCCATGTCCCATGTCTCAGATAACCCTTAGTTGGTGGTTCGCATTATGGTGGTTTGTGGAATTGAACCAGCTTTTGGAACTCATGGGAAACCACCCTCCAGACCACTCATTCGGCTCCAAACCACCAACAACAGGGAAACACTAGGTCCCCAGTAGTACTCTTTTTTGGAGGAGGGTTCCCCTGCTAAAATATACAGCAGAAAAATTGGGTACCCTTATTCTAACCTCTCTACTGGAGGACCTAGTATAACAAGGTATGGAAGGGGTAACGTATTCTGAATTCAGCGCCTGTTCCCATGCAGTTTCCCTTGGGTACGATGCAAACACTGCAGGGAGACGGGGCCAGTTTTTTTTTTGCCAGGGAGACGATTCGGCTCCAAGCCACCAACTACTTAGGTGGTCTGGGGCTTAGCTAAATGGCTAGCAGGTATAGAGGACTTACAAACATGGCAAGTGGGTTACAGCCAGGGTTTAGCTAGCTTTGGGGCCATCCAAGTAGAGGGCAGCATGTCTTCCTTTTTCCCCGCAGGCTCCATCGTGCTGGGGGACGCGGACGCCTGCCGCGACATCCCGGCCCTGCGCCGGAACCACGTGAAGAAGGCTCCTAAACCTCCCGCCTTGAAGCCTTCAAAACCCGAGTCCCATGGCCTTCCATTTGCTGAAAAGAATAGTTTATTTTCCCCTGTTGGTTTTAAAGGGAATTGATTTCACTACTGGAAATATATTTTTTTTATTTTTGCCAGGGATCTTAACTAAATGGAAGTGGCCCATCTGCAGTGGTTTGGTTCCGTCTCTCCCTTGTTTTTTTCAGGCGGGTTCGGAGTGCGGCCCATTTACATTTGTACCATGTTAGAACATGTTAGAACCAAGGGTCAAATATGTTTCATTGGTCGCTGCTCAGGGTTGGTCCAAATGTCCTGATTCGATGGGTCAAGAGGGGCGAGAAGTAGGAGCTCTACACGTCTCCCCCATTTTGTCGATTTTGCTGGCTCGTTGCTCTCTTCGTAGGGAGAGCTGTGATTTCCTTAGGTGATACCATCAAGACGTGGAGAATCGGAGAATCAGGGGCCACAAAGTTGCAATGGATCCATTTCTTTACAAGGAACGGCAAGCAGAAAGGCAACCGAATGGCGCGAAAAACCGGCCTTGCAGGTCATAAACTGCGCGCCGCAGACGGCCGCGCGGACTAGACAGGTCTCGGGCCCTTTCGGGCCCTTGCAATTTGGTGGCTAGTGACTCTTTTCCAGGGCTCGTTTCTCTGGCGCTGAAAAACTGAGTCTTAAAGGATTAAAAACGCAGGGAAGAACGCTGGTGAACCATCCATACCTTTGGACTTTTGACTTGTTGGGTTTGGAGGGGCTCGTGACAGTTTGACTGACAGCTTCACTGTTGGCAAAGGACATATGAGCCAAGGTACAAAGGTTATGGACCCAGATTTGCCTGTTTCCAAGGAAGATGCGGTGGGGGGTTTATCCTCGTGCCAACGCTTTGACCCGCAGCAATCTGCTGGTCACCCTGGCTGGGGAAAATTCGGTGGGGTGGCCCCGCCATTTGCTGAACTCCTGTACCACCTAAGTAAGAATTTCCCCATAAATGCCAATAAACAGTGGTTTCCCATGGGGTCAAAGTGGGGTAGGATTTCGTCCATCCACAGTATACAAGTATAAATATGTATATATCTATATATACACATGGTTAGCATATGTTTCATAAATTCAACCTGGCCCATGAAGGGTCCGTGCGCCGGCTCCAAGGTACGGGACACAGGCGGGAAACTCCGTCCGCTGGCAATACTTGCCATCGAAGCAAGCACCTAGCCCCCGTCCTTAGGTAAGCCACCAGAAAAGCCGGACATTGAGGCTACTTTTGGATGATTGGCCTCTAATTAAAAACCTTTCAAGTCAAAGAAATCAAGACCAGCTATGAAATACAAGGGCCGATGTCTTAGGTTGGCATCCAATGATAGACTGCAGGCCCTGCAAATGGCGACAATGTGAAGATGCTGATGTTTCAGCGGCATCCTTGTTCGTTTGTCCCAGCTTCTTCCCACTGAACCGCAGCCCCCAACCTTTTCGGGACCGAATAAACAGCAAAACGTCGACTTGCTTGGGCCACCTCAAAAAAGTCCTTGGCAACTTGGCCGGGAAGTCTACTTCATTTCAGGTAGGTCCCAATTGTTGCACAGACGCGTGGGAACCCGCGGTATGGCGGGAGGTTGTCAACCTACGCACGACTTCAAATCATGATCAGGGTTCCCGGGCGCGCTGTGAGCTATTTTCTTCAGGACGTGTTTCTTTTCGTGTTTTGTTGGAGGGTGCTGGTAAACGTGTAGAGTGCATTGGATCAAGCTGCCCAAAGTACAAAGTACACGGGTATCCATGTGAAAATGGTGCGCTTGCAAAGCAAAAAGAGAACCCCTTCCTTCCCTCCCCCAAAAGCAAACCAAAGTTGAACCCACACAAGGTGGACATGTGGCCCCTCACAAAAGACAACGCAAGGACACCAAGCCAATGTTCTACCCTTGAGGCTTCTGTTTTGAGATTTGGCAAGCAGCTGCGAGCAATGCACGTAAACAAAGGGCGTGCGCGCTCGCGCGCGTGTGTGTGTGTGTGTGTTGTGTGTGTGTGTGTGTGTTGTGTGTGTGTTGTGTGTGTGTTGTGTGTGTGTGTGTTGTGTGTGTGTGTGTGTCTGTGTCTCGGTGAGTGTCTCGTTGAGTCTCTGCGTGTCTTCGTGTCTGTTTCTGTCTCTGTGTCTCTGTGTCTGTGTATTCGAGGTTTCTCTGAAGCCAAGGAGCTGACAAAGGGATCCTGCTTTTGGCTCCTCACACTGGAGCCATGAGAACCAAAACAAGCCCTCTCAAATTTGGATTATGATGTTCCACCTGCATGTCAGGAGTTGTTGAGGTTCAAGAAGCAGTCCCTGGGAAGTGCCTGTAGGGGCGCACGCCGCAGGTAGTTCCTTCTACGGCCCCGGCGTCGAGTATTTGGAGCTTTGGCAGGATGAGCCTTGACTGCAGCGGCGGGCTCTCACCAAAGCGAGCGAGACGGCGGGGAGCAAGATGCCAAGAGGCAGTTTGTTTTGCTGTCACGCATTTGGACTAGCTTCCCCTTCCTTCCGACCCGTTACATGGTTGTTGGGAAACATGTTTTCCGATTTTTGATCTTATTGTGGTTTAGTGGTTTTGAAATCCAAACATTTTTCCCATGTTTGCTTCTTGTGGTTTAGTGGATTTGAAATCCAACTCCACTCTTTTTAGTTTTTTGCTCCCCAAACCCAACATCAACCAAGCCTTTGGTGGGCTCCAATGAGAGACCGTTCGGTCAGAGCTGAGAAATTCTGTCAGCGAGCGGGCCTTTGACCTTCTTGCTTCGCAGTTTCAGCTTTTGGGTTTTCTAGGTCCCCCAGCTAGTGCCAACTTTTAACCCCTTTTTTTTTTGGGGGGGGGGAGGGTTCCCCTACTAAAGTAGACTACGGAAAAAAGGGTTCCTCTCTACTGGAGGACCTAGTAGAACAAGGTATGGAAGGGGTGACGTATTCTCAGTTCAGCGCCTTTTCCCGCGCACTTTTGTTTGGGCAGAATGCAAACACTGCATTGAGACGGGGCCAGGTTTTGGCTTGGTTGTGTGGTGTGCTTCAATTGATAGTTTCGAAGGTACCCGACAAATATCCACGCCTCCCAAGGTTTCTTTTGGCGAGTACCTTTGTTTTTGGTTTGTTTAAATGCAATGAGGACCGCTAAGGGGAACCAAAGTGCCATTTTGGGCATCGAATTCCCCAAAAGGACAAACATATAGAAGTGCCATTTTGGGGCATCGGATTCCCAAAACGAGAAACATATGGGAAAGCTGGACTGAGGACTTTGCGGACTATTGCATCATGAACGACTTCGACGTGGTGTGGTCCTTCGCTTTCGGCGAGACAGGCCTGCGCGAATCGGGCGCGAATCGGGCGCCGGCCTGCGCTGCGGGTCAGTTCTCTTCGAAGGGTTGCATTGAATCATCTAGGAGCTGATTCCTTTTCCATTATTTTCAATCGTTCTTTTGAATCACCACCCGTTTTCCCTGAGGTTTTCTGGAAAGAAGGATCCCTGGAAAGAATGGGCAAGGTATACCCTTATAGAAATCAGGTAACTCTTTGGTGGTTTGGATTGGTTTGGGGATTGGAACCCTTGGCTTAAAGGTAAATGACAAACCTCTCCTTCACCAAACCACCGATCCAACCCCAACTATCCTTCAACAAACATGGAAGCTAGCTACTCCCAGACGAACACGGAGCCTAAACGTGGGCCCCGTAGAAGCCTTCTGAACAATGGGTTAACGAGCCGTGTCAATCAGGGGCGGCAAGTACAAGCCCCCGGCTGCACTTTCTGTTCTTCCCATGGCCACTGGAGGTTTTGGTTCGGACAAGCAAATTGGCTTTCTTTCACAGGACACTCCTCTAATACCACTGGCAGTTGGGGTTTCGTCAGCGGAAGCGTGGTTCGAAGCAATTGGTTTGCCTTGCATTCTGGCAGTCTTGAGCTTATTACTTCAGCGGACTAAGTTTAACAAGCCCAAGGGGGGGATACACAAGTAACTGGCAACAAATCGGGTGATCATAGAAAACCTTAACTAAAGCCAATGGCGGACCATTGGCTGGGCACACTCCTTGGCAGGAATCAGCGGTTTGCCCCTAACGTTGCTCCTGATTGACGTGGAGGCCAGAAATCCATCAATTTTTCAGAGATTCGAATCTCCTTCTCAGAATTCTAGACCCCCTAGACCCCCTAAACCCGCTCAACCCCCTAAACCCCCTCAACCCTTTTTGGGTTCCTTTCGTTAGTTTGGGCACCAAAGCTTTCGTTCCCCGGTCGCCCGTCCGTCGCCGATCAGGGGGCTGCGTGCTGCTGCACGGGGAGCAGAGCGACAACCGCAGCTGTGCGCTCGCGCTGGCACTGCGCCACTCGTGGAACTCGTGGAACTCGGCGCTCGTGAACTGCAGTGTTTATTTTGGTTGGGGATGTATTTGGGGATGGACCAACCCTCCATTTTGAAGAGCCATATTGTTTGTTGGGGGTTGTTTAAGGTTCACGGATTTGTTGGGTTTTGGGGGGGCCGACGTCGCCCTTGATGAAGGTTTCCCTTATTTCGGTTAGCAATAATTTGCCCAGATGATTTGCACATGTGTCGACCCCCCTTTTCTGTTGGGCGGGACCTAGCCTGATCATGATTTCTTTGGTTTGGTCCTTTTTCTAGGCTTCCAAAGGTTTCACATTGTCCAGAGCCTTGTAAGTTCGACGCGGATCTATTGGGGTTCCGGAGCTGTGAAGACAAGGTCCTGACAGGTACACCTCAATCGCCATGGGGCCCTCTTGCCATTCACATCACCACGAGGACCTGTGTGTTTTGTGCAATGGTGGGGGTGGGTGCAGAAGAATACCACTGAAATGGTATGGGCCTGAAAATTCCAAAAAAAATCCATGGACTTTGCCGAGGTATGCGGCTCATGCGGGAGACCCAGCAGATCAAAGACCCCGAGGTCCTGCTGAAGAGCGCCTGGTGCTATGTGGCCGCAAGCCCCGCGTCTCTGACTCGGCTGACTCGGCTGACTCGGCTGACTCCGCTTCGGCTTCAGAGGTCGGGAGTCTTCCAAGGTGCCGAGATCCCCCACGTGTGAGTAACTCACTCCCTGAGTTCATGAACTTTAAGCTTTTTGGGAAGACCATTTTAGTGGTGAACAGAAAGTTTGAACTTTTTTTGGCCCATCAACTCAGGAAGTGAGGTAAATACCTGGGGAGAACGGGGGGAGGCGCTGGGAATGCTGTGAAATCAGAGGCTTACGGGGGAGTCAGCATGGAGTCACATGATGTGAAAAGGGATAGAATTTGGGAGCACTGCAGACCTGCGTGCATTTGTTGATTTTTTCAGGGTGGGGGGAGGGGGCTTGGGCACTTCTGAGGATTTGGGCTCGACGGATTCTAACTAACGGATTCTTTATTTTTTGCGTCAGACAGTCATGTGGCTGTGGGTCAAAACCAATGGTACCAGTTTGGAGTAGGTGCACCACCCATTTTAGTCTATTTTAGTAGGGATTGGGATGTTCACCGGGGGTACGATTTGGATTTTGACCCATGGCCATGTGGGTCTGTCTTCTGAGGGTTCCCCCTCTGTTTGGGGTCTGTTTTTAGTTTTGTCCTGGCGACAAAGGAAACACATCATTTTTTTTGAAGGGATCCCCCCCAAAAAAAACCAAAACAAAACAAGAGCCGTGTGTTGTTTTTTCGCCTCCGAACTTGGGGGGCCCATTCGAAAGCAAGCTGTTCAACGGCCGCTTCGGGTTGCTTCCCGAAACGAGTTTTGGGGTCGCAAGCTCAGGAAGGCAACGAGTGCTGAGCAACACCAGTCCCTCGGATGTTCCCAGCGTCGCGCCTGTCTCCAAGGCTCCAAGGTTCCGGGTTCAGATTGAAAAAAGTTTTATCCGGACCCTGACAGATGCCCTAGAAAACAAGAAGGTGTTATTGCAACCCCAGTAAAAAAGTCTACCCCTCAAAATTCCCTTAAAATTTGGGTTGCAACCCCAAAAATCAGGGGTGACTTCCCCTTTTTATGGGTAGTTTGAGGGTCCAGGTGCTTTTGTTCTGACCAATCCACTCAAGGGGGGGCAACTAGGGGTGCCACCCTAGAAGGTACAATCACTACAGGGGATAAAGTTTGAACTTTGTTTGGCAAATCGTCAGTCATGGATGTTCTACATACAGTTATGCAGAGAGCATACATGGAGGCAACTAGGGAGCTGTCCTAGGGATACAATCCTCTCAGCGCTGAGAAGAGAGTGAGGTAGCCGGCTTGCCAAGCACCTGTTTGCATTGGGATTTGTATTGGCCATCAACATTGCTAGTAGGGCGTTTAGACAACCGATCACGGGAGTCACATTCATGACCAGCAAAATGAGTTTGACCACGACACATGTGCCAAGGTTATTGCCCGATACATCCGTATGAATGCGAAAATACTGACGAGTTGTCGCTTACAATCAGGCAATCAGGTGAACACCAGCCGCCTGCTGTCTTACCACCCTTCCAGTCCTGCTGGGTGTCAGTTTTCCCTTGCTCCTCTGTAAATGTGTGGCCTTTTAATAACGGTCTCTGACAAATGGGGTTTGCTGGACCTACTGTGGGGAAGATGTTGCATCCCGGGCCTTCCCGAAATTATGATATAGCAAACATATTTAAAGACAACAACCAAGACAAACAACATCTGTGGCTTGTTAGGTTATTGAAGACAAACATATTCAAACAAAAGGAAGCCTCCGTGGCCCCCATTTTTTCCCTGAGCCTCAAGTTCCTTGGGCCTGACCATTGAAAGGACAACATAGATAAGGACAACAAAACAAAGAGAAACAGCCGTGGCTTGTTGGGTTTTTAAGCTTGTTGCTTAGGCCTTACCGCCCCTTAGGCGGTTTTTTCCCCCCTTTTTTTTCGACGAAACCGTGGCACGGCAGCTGTTTGTTAGCTCCGGGCACCATGGAGCCAATGGACTGCACGCTGCGGGTTCCCCGAAGGGAGGGGCACCCATGGACGATCCCGCGTGCGATCCCGCGTGCCATTTCTTCGGCCAAGCAACCAGGCGCCGGGGGGGGGGGGGGGGGAAGGGGGGGTACTCCTCAAAAAGAGTGGAGTGCGCCATGAGGGTTCAAAACAATGGTTTTTGGAGGGTTCCATGCTCATTTGGAATGTTCTTTTTCGGTGAAGTCAGCGCGGGCGATTCCTCACTTGCCCAAGCCGAATCTAGCTTTGCAACCGGCTTGTTTTTCCTTGACGGTCTAATCCACCGACGCGCATGCTCCCTTTCACATTGCCTTTGGGCTTCAATAAGTCCCAACGGTTACAACAGGTCCGCGTTTGATCCAAATGCTTTGGCCCTGCGTCCAGGCGCCAGGGAGAGTGGAGCTTGCCGAGCTTGCCTGGCCGTGGCCGTGGCCGTTAGCCAGTCCAGAAGAGCTGCCTGGCTGAAGGTGTTTCCCATTCCCCAGTTGCTGAAATGATGTTTTTTTTCTTTTCCCCTGGTTTCAAAGGGAATGTATCACTACTGGAAATATCTTCACGATTTTTGTCCAGTCTTAAACAAATGGAAGTTTCCCGTCAGCCCCTAAAGGGGTGTGGGTGCCTTGTGCGTTTTTGCTACAGACCTGCGACCCAGAACGCCAGGCATGCATATACCTGCTATATGGCGGGGGAAACGAGCCAATGATGATTTTGGGCCATGTTCTTGGGGATCCCTCGTTTCAGGTGTTGGAACTATGTTAAAAAAGATACGCTAAGAAGGAGGTGGACATTTCCCTACGTCCAACAATCATTCCTTTCTCCGACTTCCCTTACTAACTTGTTCCTGCTTAAAGCTTCAGCCACATCTATAGGTCTTGAAAAGATATTCCGTCCCAAAGCAAGGAAAAACGAGTGGCCGATACCAATTCACTGCTTTACGGTCTTCAGAGGTTTTCCTCTCAGCTGATTTTTTGGCACTGTTCTGTTTCCCATTTTCTTGGGGAAACAGGTGGCACCCTCGCCCACGGGCAAATGGACTACACCATCCAAGTGAAACAAAGCAGCTGGACATGGGGGACTTTGAGGGAAAATCGCCTCGCAAAGGCCATGGCGATTCGGTCACAGGACCTTTTGGAAGTCCGGGACTGTCCACTAAACCTACAAACGGTGATCGTTTTCTCGACCTTTAGTTGAGCAGGGAAGGGCAAACCCTGTAGAGGTACTGTGGATGGACGAAATCCTGCACCACCTAAGAAGCTCTGGGAATGATGATTCCCCCTGTAAATACCAACAAACAATGGTTCCCCATTCCTTCTTGGGTGCGAAATGGATTTCGTCCATCCACAGTATGTTTCCCCAAGAGAAGGATTGCCCCCAGAATTCGGTGATCAGGTGGTTTGACCCAAGGATTCGGAGATCTTTTCTGAGCCCAGGATTCAGTTCCTTGCTGAAATCGAGATTGGCCAACGACATACTTCTAGGCCGCATCAAGGGCCGTTTGGGATTTGTAGTGTTGTGGGCTTTCCCCTCCCCCCCCCCCCCGGCCAAAAAGAAGAGAAGGACACACATGCATTTCAATTGTAAGCATAGACCTTTCGGGGGTTGTTTCCGGCTTGAGTCGAGTTCTTAGGGTTTAAACCCCCCAGCCACGCCTGGGAGTCCAAGTCCAAAAAGCTCACGCCGAGCCTTCCCACCACTCCGGCCAGGTCTTCTGTCGCCGTGCCGGGCTTGAGCTAGAAACGCTCAAGGCGCAGCAGGTGACTCGGCTGAATCCGCTGAAGCTGGGGCTCTTGCTTTGAGGGGTGAAGTGTTAGAACCGAAAACACACACTTTTTTGAGTGGTGCCGGTTTTCTCTCATTCTCACTTCCTGAGTTGATGGACTTTAAACTTTTTGGAAAGACCATTTTAGTGGTAAATAAAAAGTTCAGACTTTTTTTGGCCAGTCAACTTGGGAAGTGAGTAGAACCGAAAACATATACGTGCTTTTTGAGTGGCGCCGGTTTTTCTCTCATTTACTCGACTCTTCAAAAAGGTGCCGTTTTCCAACGACCACTCCCAACCAGAGAGTGTGGACCTAGTTCGCTAAGTGCTCAACCCTAGTTCTAGCCCACTTCGACTTGGAACCAAAATCAGTTGGTTTTACCAGGCTAGTAGCCACCCAGCCTTTCTCCCGTACCATCTGCGTCTCGAGTACTTTGTCCAGGTCCCCCCAGTAGTGTCCTTTCTCACCCCTTTTCTGGTTGGGAGGGTATCGACTACAGAAAGAAAGATCGGGTACCAAACTATTCTAACCTTTCTACTGGAGGACCTAGTTTTTTGTCCAAGTACTTGTCTGTCCAAACCATAAGTTGGTGGTAGCAACCTTGTCCAGCCCAGAGGCTCCTGGGGCTTTCAATGGAAGACCCGACCCCTCCATTAGACACCCTGGAGGTGTTCGGGACTCGGTCTCAAAACCTGGCCATCTACGTAGACTCGTATTTTTTGTCGGGTCCAGAGCCTTTTTTCGCTGACCATCTACGTCTCGAGTATGTTTGTTTGTCCTTTCTTTTGGGTAATGACCCCTTTTTTTTAAGGGTCAGAAGGAGAGTCCAGGTACGTCTCGAGTACTTTTTTGTCGGGTACCCTCAGTCTAACCTCTCTACTGCAGGACCTAGTTGGGAATTTTAGGACTAAAGGGAAAGTTTCTTGAAAGTTGCTTACAGTTAGGTCTTAGATTTTTGGTTACATAGACTCGTAGACTCGTATTTTTTGTCCAGCCCAGAGGCTCCAATGGAAGACCCGACCCCTCCATTAGACACCCTGGAGGTGTTTGGGACTCGGTCTCAAAACCTGGCCGTTTGAGGGCCCTAGATACATCGGGAGCCTTTGTCCAGGAGCAGGTCCGTTTAGGAGACCTCCATTTGCTTAAGAATATTTGTTTATTTTCCCTTGTTGGTTTTAAAGGGAATCCATCACTGCAGAAATGTTTTTTTGTTTTTCCTGGGCCTTAACCAAATGGAAGGAGAAGGTCCGGCAGAAGGTCGCGGAGAAGAAGGCTCGACGAGAACTGGAGCAAAGTCTTCCCCCCGGGTGGCGGGTCGCCTCCCACCCCAGCACAGGGCAAGTGCGGCCCAGCGGAGAACTCGGGGCGTGTTTTTTTGGGTTTCTGAACCATTTGCTTTGGGTTTCTTGGTTTGTCGTTGGGAGGCACATTTTGCATTTTGGCTTATTGTGGTTTAGTGGGACATCCCCACTTAACTGCTAAACAAATAATTGTTTGCTCCCCTTCCAACATCAACCATGGTTTGGGTTTTTGAGTGGGTTCCCTTATCAAGTAATTACCCAGCAAAAGTGGCATTCGTTGTTCCGAATGCCACTGGGGGGCTGGGACCATGAAAGCTTCAAACACCTGTTGGTTGCAAACCTTTGTTTCAACATACGGGTTGTCTTTGCACTTCCATTTGCTGAAATGAATATTTGTTGTTTTTTTTTTTTTTGTTGGTTTGGAAGGGAATCTATCAATACTGGAAATGTTGTTTGTTTGTTTTTTCCCCGGGGTCTTCACCAAATGGAAGGTTTGGACCCACAAAAAGTGGTCGACCCAGAGTCCAAGTACTTCGAGTTGGAGGTTTGGGGTATGACTTGAGGCGACAAGTTGGGGGATTGGATTCGGTATAAACCCCTAAAGGGTAAAACTTCCCAACCGCCAATGAAAGTCACCAACTCACTTCTTCAGTTCCCGGACTGTGTACTTGTTGGGCTTGGACCATTTTAGTGGCAAACAAATAGTTTGGTTACTTCTTCTGGCCAGTCCAGACTATTGGTGTGATGCGGGTGTCCTATTCATTGTTTCGAGTTGGTCAGAACAGCCTTTTCGT